ACAGGTGTCTCCTACCGATTGAAAACAATTCAACATTCCCATTCTACCATTCCCACTCCCTCCTCTCTTCCTACCCTTTGGTATAAATAACTAGCGTATTAACAGCGTCCCGAAGTAGCACTCATTTCGAAGAATCAGTTCGTCGAACAAAAGCATCCGTACAGGCACTCCTTGATTCAAGACCATTCTATAGTGCATTCCTTTCACTAGCGTTCAACCTCATTTTAAGGATAGAGTGATCGTCCCCTTGTAAAGCCGTCTAACCCTACTCAATAGAATAAATGTTATTTTCTATATTAATGAGGCATTCAAAGTTCAGTTAGTAATACATAATATTACTAGATATAGTAATCATGTTCGCTAGTAGTACCAAACTGCTATTTTGGCAAAAAACAACCATCAACGAGCCAATAAGCACGGGAAACGAAGTAACTTTGCAAAAGAACTGAACTCATCCTGAAATTTGAACATCAGGTCAATTATCCAGGCGCTTTCTCACGATGAAAATGAGAACAAGAATATGTCAAATTAACAAATAACATCCTATTTAAAAAGCATAAATATATTTAAATTTGATTTCCGCTGGGAATATGGAAGTGAAAATATATTTTATCCCACCGAACTAAATCTCTCACCGATCAAAATTTACCGGAGAGTAACAGTATGCCAAGGTCATAGCATTAATGAGCTTTTGCACTCAAGGTTTAATGTGTTATTTTAATGGCCGCGTGTAGTGAAACGTTTTTTTAACTGCATAATTTATAAATTTTGTTAAAAAAAGTAGAAAAGTGGATTTGTCCCCATAAGTAAAGGATACATTTTGTTAGTTAAAATTGTGCGCCCAATGCCACCACCACAGACGTCTTTTTCAATGAATCACTGGGATAACTAACCAGGACATTTCAACTCAGAACTGAGAACCATTTTCATCACAAATGAGATCTTTGGGGATGACCCTAAACAAGAATAGAGCAATATATATTACAAGATTACTAAATTGAGAATTCATTCGACGATAAAGCTAAATAAAGTAGACCAAAGTGTGCAGTCGTTAGTATTTTCGAAATGACATAGTTAAGTGTACTTCACAACCGTAGAGTCTATGTTAGATTTTTTCGGACGAGCGAGCAGTTTCTTAATCGGGTACCATTTTATCAGTAGTAAGAGACACGCTGATCCAGACATCTTACGAGTTAGGCTAGGCGAGTTAGACATTACTCACAACCTGAAGGTGGATTGAACGGCCATTTAACTAATCCTCGTTAAATTATTAAACTGCCCTGCAATAAGTTCTTGAATCGGGGTTAATTGAGGCCCGGAGGTATATATTGTGAATCCTGATCAAAGTGACAATGATCAAGCTCCTAATATTACAACACAATGGCGACAAAGCTTTTAATGTCCCGAAATTAAATAGATTACGGTCCTAAAGGGGAAATAATTAAAAAAGGGCTTAATCAGATACGCCATCACTACCGATTGCCATCTGAAGTGAACCCGCTGTGAATAGCACACACGAGCGGGCTGAATAGCAATAGAAATGGCTCCACAATGGTACTGTCGGTTGGAATTAACATTGGAGGGAAATGCACGAACGGACATAGACGCCCCCACACACACAGGGTATGAATTAAATCGATAACAAGGTGAGAGGGTCACCATATTGACCAGGCAGGGTGGATATTACCATATATGATTGTCATTGTAACCATTTTTTGAAAAGTTAGGGCTAAATGACAAAATTTGATCAAGTCAGGAATAACAACACCGACTTCAAGTCTGTGTGCTTACCTTAATTCAAATACCGATGTTATTGCAACATTCTCGATTGAATTGAAGCCATATCGAGGAAAAATCGTTGCGTAAACATAGCATCCCATTTTCACTTTGATAACCAGTTAAAAATAGAAAAAAAGAGTTGAATATTGCTGAGGGTACACTTGAGCGAGCACTAATGAGTTCCGACACGTTCAAAATACCCTTTCAAGAGACGGCCACGACCTTAAAAAGTTGTAAATAATTAACGCGACTTGACCGAGCATTCAATTAAATGAGCTGTTAAGGGGTTTCTAATTATAGCGAACCCAATCTTATCCCGAATTCCAAGGAACCAATCATAAAAGAGCGATCAGTCACATTGAGCCACAAGCCTAGCGGTAATAAGATAAAGGCATACAACTCATCAGAATCGTAACGATGAGTTCCTCTGCAGACCCTACGACGATTGTGCATATAGAAATGCCACTAGCAGTATAAAGTGTACTACTGTTAGAAGACTTCATCGAAGCCTTGAAAGAACAAAAATACGCTACTTCAGATGAAAAATTGGACAGCCAATCGCGAGAGGTATGGAGATAAAACCAGGTAGTTCATAAGGAATTTTCAATTAAAAGTAAAATTAAAGAAATGATATTTTTCAATTGTGTAAATTTCAAATTTACCATACACAAAACACTCCGTGAATGAATCAAAGTAGAAACTCCAATATTTCGAAGGAAGAGCTTTTCAAAAATAACTTACTTTACAGGCTAAACTAGTGATTCGCATTCGGTATAAGCTTGCTTAAATCATGTAAAGAGAAATGAAAAAGTCAAAAAGAGATGATGCGGTGATGAACGTGCACATTTGTAAGTCAAGGGTGACGACGTCGATATTCATCAAGCCCCACTGAGAGACGTGAATTCCCAATCCTTCTGGTCAATGTTGATCAATAAGAGAGCAAGCTTCTTGTCTTGAAGTGCAATTAACACTTTCTCTTGCATGCACTTTTAAAGGAACCGATTGCATAACATCCAAGCAGCACTGAATACCGCCCCAACTAAGCAACCCATTTGAAAGATTAGTACAATGACAAACGCAGATTTACTCCTGAAGTAAGTCCAACTAAATGTGACTTGAAATTGAATTTTACTGAGCTCGATCGAATTTTGAAAGACGGAAGAAGTCCCCCTTTCCAAGCAAAATGCTAAGCATTTAAATATACCCTATCACGTGAACTAGGGATAAAGTTCGTTGGCCTTACTGGCGAAGCAAAAAGCCAATAATAAATGCGCATTGAAAATAGTAATAAAGGGCTAAAATTTATTTAATGATAAAAAAGTTCTATGCCTCTTTCGGGAGGTATTCACCCATATTAGGTGAGGTCAGTGCCATGAAACATTTAGTAATCATTACAATTAGTCCGTCCCCCACGTAATGTGAGCTAATGAATAATCGAAACCCCAACTCTTTGGACTTCAATTCCATTAATTTTCCAGTCAACAACAAAACAGCCGCCGTTATCAGGGCAACCATTAAATATTCATAAAAAACAAAAAGGAAACCTAACTGTGGAGGTTGTAATGACTAGGGAGGTTATATTAGTTGCGAGAGGGGGTGCGCGATAGACTTACCTCCAAGTGGAACACCCTGGGCAACGTATACTCAAACAGCAAAAAAATCTATAAACCGGCAGTTGACTTCAAACTACCACGACCCCACTGCATGTCATGTTCGACCTCTCTCGAATTTTTCTTACTTTGATGTTCCTCCTCTCTGTGAAATGGCTAATGGTAACTATCATAAAACCTGGCATTTGAAATAAATAAACACGAGTTTTAATGGATCAATAACCAAACATTTGAACGGAGATTGTTACTTACTTATAATATTTTTTTTCTTCATGTGGGTGAAGATTTTATATATATTATCGTTTTTCTAAAGGACATTATTGAAGGAGAATCAATAAGTTCGATTGAATTTAGCTAAAGAAGTAAGAAGTGAACGGAATTCAGTCTTTTTATAATAAAACAACCAAATCAACACCACTAACTCGTCGCTCAGATGATCACATGGATGTAAGGATTGGCATTTTGAACAAATCATGCTATTTGACTAGTCAGCCAGGATAGTCAAAGGATTGCCCAAAGAGTTTCCTGGCAATAACTCCTTCAAGCCCAAAAAATCTACCGATTACATGGGAAAATAGGTACCTGTAGCCAAGCGAGACAACACTCTTGAAGGGCGGCAGAAGTACAACATCCTCCACCATATCCATAGAGATTTCACTGGAGGCTGTAAGATTGCCATTGCCTTCTTCTGCAGGAGGTTTTCGCTCAGCAACAGAGAGGAGTTGAGAGGCAGTCGAGTTCTGAGTATTGATCACATTGAAGGTTGCAATTGAATCTGTGTTGGCTACAAGTAAACACGGGGAAGTGATAAAGAGTCTTCCTACTGTTGTCAATATGTGCGAACATCACGACAGTTAATGTGCAATTGGTTATAACGTGAAAGTGGAGAAAATAAATGTAAAATATCAATAGTATCATTTTGTACAAAAAAGCATATACTTTCAAGAAATGCGTCTTCATGAAGGATAGGGTTCTTTAAAACTAAATCTGAGTGGTTTAATAAAGCAGAAAATGCACGAGTAATCATCTGGAAGGATATTCAAATTAATTACACATTATTATCGAAAATCTGTTTGTTTGATTGTGAAGGTGCCACCTCTCAGATCGATGAAAAGAACCCAAACCCCAAGAGGTTCAGGAAACGGATTAATAACGAAATAAAATAGTTCACAATGCCCCCTGCATATCGAAAATAATTTATTTCACAAATGACCTAAATATTTGATAGGAATTTGAAGCAATATCTTGCTGTGCAACGCCAACTACACTTTAATAAGGCAATTTTATGACGAAAAATTAAAGATTACTGCATGTTCAAAACACCTATTCTATCACATCAATGATTAATTCAGATCTTTTCGATCAATCGCAATCTAGGCACATTCAAAATCAACTTACCAAATTCAACCAAAATGCCCGATTACTAGATTAAATTCCCTGGTCTACTCTCTGTATTTCCTCTACATGGGATCTGGACACTTGTGGACATGCATTCTACAAGAGGGTCTGACCATACCTCACAACGATCAACCATTAAATTTAATTTTAACCCTAACCCAAATGCAACCTACTTGAGGTAATGGAACGTGATAGCTTGTTACTTAATTGCATTAAGAATTCGCCTTAGGGAAATGACAGCATCGTTGGCCTGAATTGTAGTTATGTAGTCCAGGTCAGGCAATAGCCTAAAAAGGGCTCCACACAGTATTGCAAATATATTCCTAGTTTTAGAACGGCTTGGCAGGGGTGTGTGATAGACTAACCTCCACGTGGTGCACCCTGGGCCACGTATAACCATACGGCAAAAAAGTCTATTAACTGGCAGTTGACTTCAAACTACCATGACCCCAGTGTATGCCATATTCCACAACTTTCCCAGTACTCATCTCACCTCTTCTCTACCTTTGTGTCTGTCTGTCTCTTTTACATCTGTGAATCACTCTTCTGTGCCACACCTCTCGACTTTCTGTTACCCTGATGTTCCTTTCCCCTGTGAAGCCCGAAGTCAGCTAAAGAGTTAATGATAACTATCAAAACGCCTGTCATTTGAAATAAATAAATAAATAAATAGAACTGCTTGGCAAGTTCGAACCGTGATATTACAAACAGGCACTAGTTTCCATCAGACAGGAATGACAAATTTTTTGCTCAACATGAATCTTCGATTAAGAATTTCAGCCCGAAACACTCCATTATGAATAGGCCAGTTACTGTAAGGAAGAATTTTTGTTATTAAAAATACGTATGATGCTAAAGTCTGAATAAAAAGTCGAATCTATTGGCTGTTTAATAATAAGATGTCGATAAAAGAGAAAAAAGATTCCTGAGGCGCGAAAAAACACGCTTGACCATTGGAACAGGATACAACACAGTAAATTGCGACAACATCCAGGACAAGATAGATAGTGGGGTCATGCAAAATTACGTCTTCTTCTAGCCACGGAGGAACGTCGTGAAGAACCTATCGGCTCACGACAGTTTCCCGACTCCCGATAATGCTCCAATCCCCAATTTCCACCACCCAGGGTTTCACTATCGTCGTCCACAGTGTGTGATGAGTGAAGGAAATGACGAGATCTCCGGGTTCGTGATCTCGCAGGCTTTTGCTGAGTCATTTGAAAGGAAATTTGATTATTTCTTGCCAGTAGACGCTGTGATAAACGCAGAGCAGCTTCACGCGTAAGATAAGCCCCAAGGTGCTGCGGCTGGTGCTGATCGTGGGCCTCATTAAATGTGTTCGAGACCTGTGGGGTCTGATTAGCCATGCTATTTTTGAAGGCCTCAGCAAGACGAGTCCGTAGCTTTTGAGAAAGCTCTACGAAATCAGGCATATCCCGAAGGTATTGCAGACTAAATTGATGATTTGGATCAAATCGTTGACTGGGATATTGGGAGTCGGGTTTCGACTCCGCGTGGGGGAGAACTGATATCCAAAGATAAGGTTAAAAAGAAGCAAATACACCCGAAAATAGTAGACAAATGTTACCAAGACCAAGAATTAAAAAGAGCCTAAATAGAGGATTTTGGACTTACAAGTTTTGCCAGAAGTTTCGGAATTGTCATTTTCTCGGAGTTCAATCTATAATTGAAAAGAGAGATGTACTTTCATTTACCCCATTTCAAGGTGAGATGAAAATTTAATTATTGGAGTAAATGTCATTAAAAAAACAGAAAACCAAATATAACGCTAATGCTCTTCACCGACTTCTCTCCATAGACGTTAATTGTTTTAAGTTATAATGACCTAACGCAGAACCAATAAGAAACCGAACATTTTAAGAAATGCATTAAAATGTCACTTACTTTTAAATTTTATTTTATGACACAATACAATATAATTTCCACCACTATGTACTATTTTGAAATAAAATAGTTGTTCAAGACCTTTTATTATTCTTATTTTGTGCCAAAAAATTGTTCTTTTCGTTACAGTGAATTAGTAAGTCCGACATTTTGTAATCACTTAGATGTTAAAGCTGCTTGCATGTGCAACTGAATTAACTGAAAACGAAATAACTCCAAGTATCCTTCATTGGAGGACGGACTCTCTACATTTGTCGTATTATCAAACTACCCCCCCCCCCCCTCCCCTCCTCTGAATGCATATCAACTTCCAAAAACCCGTAACATCTCATCTTTTTAGCTAAAGATCGTTATCACAAGGTTCAACCTTCTCGCATTCCTGCAGACAATCATTTTTTGTAATTTCTGATTCTTTCCAATAAATGTTGGTCGCGATGAATCTGTCTTAGCTTTATCTTATGGTGATGAGAAGAATGCGACGAGTCAGACGAAGGAATTCGCTCAGGCTCTAAACGGCCTTCCACCCTAACTCCATAAGCCCAAATCAATAAACCGCACTAAAGTGATTAGTGTTGGTATGTCTCAAATGAAAGAATGTAGCATGCAAGCAATCGGAACTTGTGATCATTTTACAATCCCCGTTCAGTATAATAGATGACGGATTCGATTCCACTTCATTCTAAGCTACGATGAAACTCTTGTCTATTTGGACAAATTGGAGAGATGCATAGAAGGATGCAAAATGATAGGTCCTGAGAAAAGGTGCCAGTTTCTTCCTTCATGAAGTGGATAAAGAAATGCGCCGTATCAGAGTTCTAGCAGATGGCTATTTGCCCATCTCAGCCATATGAAAGGATCAAGGAATTGTTTCTTCTACACTACCCATTCCAATGGCAGGAATTTGAAGAATTGTGCTACTGCCGACGAGAACACCATCCTCTTCTTCGTGCTAAGAAATGTTTCCTATTAATCCATGTCATTTGAACGGTGTCAATTAGGTGGAAGAATCCATCTTCGATGTCAGTGGAAATGGCAAATGCAGATAAATTTAGCGCCACTGCCAATAGGGTTAAAACCTTTGCTGCTTCTAATTCAACTTCTTTTGAACTTCTGGATGTTGATGAGTTAGATACCAGAAGAGAGAAACCATAATTTCTTCAAATGTAACGGAAAATAAACCATTCCAAGCAATTAACTGCCGTACTTAACCCTTCAATTCTCCAAATTTCCCTTGGATTTAGACGAGAAAGAAAAGGCAATGAAAGTGCCGGTAGAAAAGGAAGTGTTCCACGTCATTCAAAGTGATGTTGAGATTATTAATTTACCTATTCTATTCATGAGAGTGCTGCATCATCCCCAAAATTCAATATCTTTGTATCCGTGAAGGTGAGTTAATTTTGAGGCGAAATTCTTTGTCCCTAAAAATGCGATTTAATTTTCATAGACAAAGTGAATTACTTCTCTTAACAGGGGTGTGCGATAGACTTACCTCCACGTGGTGCACCCTGGGCAACGTATACTCATACGCCAAAAAAGTCTATTAATCGGCAGTTGACTTCTGATTTCGAACTACCAAGACCCCACTGCATTTCATATTCGACTAATTTCACAGTACTCACCTTTTTGCTACCTTTGTGTCTGTCTGTCTCTTTTACGTCTGTAAATCATTATTCTGTACCCCCCCCCCATCTCGACTTTTTGCCACTTTGGTGTTCCTCTTCCTTTCTGTGAAGCACGAAGTCAACTAAAGGGCTAATGATACCTATCATAACGCCTGCCATTTGAAATAAATAAACCTCTTAACAGTGATCGAAATGTTGAAAACTTTCAATGTGTGGTGCCATTTTAGAAACGAGTTAACTATCCACATTGTTCGTTATTATACAATTATCCAATCATCTATATCTCTCAAATGGCTTACTTCATACAGAGGCCATGGAGTAGTGACGCCTTAATTCCAATCTCCGCCTCACTAATTTCATATTCCGCCTGCCTGTGAGAGCAGTCACGCTCAATCCCCTAGGGAGAATGCAGTGATTTGAAATTCAAATTGAACGAGGCTTACTCACACTTTGTCCCCCCCACCCCTCCTCATCAAATCGATACGATCACTTATTTTAACCACATTGCCGCATATTTCCCAATCGTGCGCAGTCCCAACTTTTCCCCTTTCTCATGAGATATCACTGCACTCTTTAGTCCCACGTTAGACAGGTGTATTCTATCATAGATGCAACTCCTTCCATGATAAGCCTTTAAATACATCTGCATTTTATGAATGAGAACACTTTATCTTCGGCTCTTTGAATGGCATAAATTCAATCGAAAAAAATGATATCATTTAAACTTCATGCTGTGTACTGCCATGCAAGCACATTGTCCTTCCTAGCCACTAGATAAAATTGAAATTGATGTGGGATTATCATTTTTGAAGTTGAGGTAACCATTCAGCAAATATTGCGCAATTCAAGCGCAGGAAGCATGTGAAGTAAGGCACTTAGACGTGATGTTGCAAAGCGACATACTTATAAGAAGTTACATTTTACTAATTTTGCTATTTACAATTTTGTCTTTCAATCTTTGTACCACTGCCATATAACTACTCCGAACTTCAAGGTACTTCAACAAAACGAAGAGAAAGTGATTTTCCTGAATACGAACCTTATAAATGTGTGCTACAAAAGCTTGGAAAGAATATCTCTTTCTCTCTCTCTTCCATCAACCAGAATTTGTGAGCCATGCCTCCATGTGTGACAAGCCCGTATTGTCGTCATGAGCTGGAAATGAATTAACGCCTCATAGTTACTACTACTGACCTAATTGGAAGTGAGAATTAGAAGAAAATTTTGACGGATCGATATGGCCAAAATGTATGCAGATGAATTGTTTGGACACCCATTTCTAGGCGACGCACATTGTATGAGAAAATTCCAAACATTTTTAATCTGAAATAGGACACAGCAAACTGGCCAATAACGTATCATCTCTTGACTTTAACATTTTTTAATAGGCATGGAACTTTGTAGTGCTGAAGGAATACATGGCAGAAGATGTAAAGCCTTTCACGTGGATTGTAAAAGTTTACAAATAAGTCAGATTGGTACACTCTACCAAACAGTTGAATAAATCGGTCAAAGAGCTCTGGAGAGGATAAATACAAGCTCTCCCAGGAACCTATAAATAAAGGCATGGATTTTGAGTCATGAAAAATTAATGATTTCCAGAATTCAATTGATGTATATGCCAATTTTGTCATCCGCTGGATATGTTCAGAAAGTTATATTATTCGGAGGCTATTTGATAGGTAAATAAGACTGTGCTTAGACAGGCACTCAAAGTGCATTATATTCCTCGTTATCGGCACTTTCAAGACATGATGTGGTAAGTTTCAATCATGGATTGTTCCCTCCTCTGACCAATGATATTTCATTGGACCCAGTAGAAAACAACAATCGGCTAAATCTTCCCCCAGTCAATCACAATCTGGACAAGCCTGAGCCCTCATAAAACATCCCCGACAAGAGGGTGCGAAATCAAGACAATATTCCATAAGCGAACCTGCTAAGAGTTCTTAGTATTTGCTTGGATAATAATAATGGATAATAGAGTTGTATTGAAGCTAACCTTTGGGGAGATATTCACAATGATTGCATGATTGGGTGAAGTTGGCACAGAGGCGGCGAAAGCCGGAGTTGCAGTTCCACTCTTTTTCGGAGTAGTAGGCGTAGGCACCATCGAGTTATTCAATCGCCTCTTGGGCAGCAGGTGACGATGTGTGTGGGCCATCTCGAGGAGGCTGAAAGCACTGCAAATACCCCCACGCGCCAATCGTTCGCGTTCTGCTTGGGAGGTGAAGAGGCCGCGAAAGGCACTCGCCAGCCCAACTGCGGAGACCACGTCACCTCGTGAATCGATAAAGGTGTTCGTGAGGGGTCGGCAACTTTGACGGATTCCAGTGCTAAGTTGGTTGAAGAGCCAGACGTAGGCTTTGTACTGATCCCAGGAGTCAAGGAACTAGGAAAGGGGGGGGTGTGGAATATAAATTTAATTAAGCAATATGAATTATACCCTGAACACCACGGGAAAGGAATGGTTATTGTTCTCTTAATTTGTAAATTGTTGTGCTGTCGGCTCTAAATTGTATACCACTTCCTATAACAGAATGAACTAAACTAAAAAGTACTTCAATATGCCCAAATAAACTCACAGAAGAATGCTGAAATGGTTTTAGGAGAGCGTCTCTCCATCAGTATGAATAATGGCTGCACTTAAATTTGATGGCTTCTTATCCGTTCTATTTATTCTACTAGTGATGTATGGCGCTATATATTTAACACCATTAAATTAAGTGACATATTGAAATATGCATAGATCTGGGGTGTTTCAAACCACCAATAAATATTTTCACAGGTTAGGAACCACAAAGTCCCAGAAATGCTTAGATTGAATACAAGTTCGTAGAACAGCTTTCTAGTGGAGGTCAAAACAGACGAAATTCGGGTGGAATAGAATGTCTACTTTCTCATGAGCAGAATAATCACAACTAACGAGCTTTATGATTGAGCCGCTTTTTCGATATTTTTGCACTAACTAGGACTCAATATAGGGTCAAAGTCAAGGGAAAACCAAACATTTCGGAGTGGCAGCTAAGTGTATTGGGAAAAAGTTAACACGATTCAAACTCTGTGCCAGAAGCCAATCTTGCTACAAGATGATTTATATATTTAGCATTGGGGTGCGTGATAGATTTACCTCCACGTGGTGCATCCTGGGCAACGTATACTCATACACCTCCACGTGGTGCACCCTGGGCAACGTATACTCATCTGACATACCTCCACGTGGTGCATCCTGGGCAACGTATACTCATACGGCAAAAAAGTCTATTAACTGGCAGTTGACTTCTGACTTCTAACTAACATGACCCCACTGCATGTCATATTTCACCATTTCAGCAGATCTCGCCTTACCTTTTGCTCAACATTTGTGCCTGTCTGTCTCTTTTACATATGTGAATCATTATTCTGTCCCATTCCCCTTTCGACTTTTTGTCACTTTGATATTCCTCCTCTGTGAAGCCCGAAGTCAGCTAAAGGGCTAATGATAACTATCAGAATGCCTGCCATTTGATATAAATAAATAAATATTTAGCAGTTAAACAGTAGTGAATATGGTAAAATAGTTAATTGATTAACAAGAGCCCAAAATAATTAAACTCCCCCCCTCCCTTCCATAATCATTGCGAAAACTGCCAAAATAATCCCAATTCAATCATCCCACCAATTAAAGAACTTATTGTTTCCCTTTCAATTTGGTCTATGAAAAAAAATAGAGGGGTAAAGGGGAAGACCATTTTGTTTAGTTTTTTTGTTGATTTTTCAAATTAATTGCGAAAATAGCTAGAAATGGACTTTCAGAATGAGTAAAAAAAGTAATGTAAAATGGGCATTAATTTTGGGGTCTCCCAGACAATAATAAGCTTATTTGGGGTTGCTAAGAGGGAAATGCATTTTCACTGGCTAAATATCAGGATTATTGTTAATTTATAAGTCAGCGCGCAGAATTAGTTTCAGAGTTCAGCTGCCATTTATCACACGGTAGGGGGGGAGGGGACGGGGGACAATGATGTGCTCTCTCTCTCTCTCTCTCAGCGCGCAAACAAAGAGAAACAATGGGCGAGCCTTCCATTTCTCCCTCCATTAGTAACCATTAAAAATACTTGATAAATGTAACAAATTTAAGAGAAGGCTCAAGTTGAAAAAGAGAGAAAAACACGCGAAGGGCTTAAAAATCGTTTTTAGTGCCAAACAAGTCTTTCAGGGTATCAAAAAAAACACTGACACTAGGGGGGAAGGGTTAGTCCTATAAGAGAAATGATTGATTTGACGGGGTGTGGGATAGACTTACCACCACGTGGTGCACCCCGAGCAACGTATACTCATACGGCAAAAAAGTCTATTAACTGGCAGTTGACTTCTGACTTCAAACTACTATGACCCAACTGTATGTCATATTCCACCACTTCCACAGTACTCATACTACCTTTTCTGTACCTTTGTGCCTCTTTCTTTTACACCTGTAAATCACTCTTCTGCTCCCCATCATTCGACTTTTTGTTACTCTGATGTTCCTTTCCCCTGTGAAGCCCGAAGTCAGCTAAAGGGCTAATGATAAGTATCATAGAGTCCGCCATTTGAAATTAATTAATTAATTAATTTGACAAAGATCCAATGTATTGTCTTAATTATAAGCGAAAAAAGGTTTGTAAAATCTAATTGTTTCCGTAAATAACAACTAGACAAGAAAAGGCAAATTAATTTAACTTAGCCAAACATTTAAAATTCACCTAGAAAAAAATTTACCTCGCTTGTCTAGTGAAGAATTGTTAGATGACAGTGTTAAAAGTCAATTTTAACTGTAAGTGGTAATTTAATGGAAAAGCAATGTAATTCTGTCATGTCAAATGCACATTAGCTGCTCAAAATCAATGAGTTTGCTCAGCATTTCAAAAGATAAACACACTTTGAATTGTATAAAGTAAAACAGTGAAAGAAAGCCTAAAAGACTAAAAATAGGCAAGGCTACTTTGATCCTACATCCTACCATCTTTAAAATCTCTTCCTCACACCGCTAGGAGAGTGCCGCTAACAATATTAGCGTTGGCAGCGAAATTGAAGCAAATGTGTGCATAGGCAGAGCATAATAAGACTTGATCACTCAATTCTCTTCATGCAGTCTTTAACTCGAGGAGTGCTACTCACCACATCAGAAATGTGACACCGATCGTTGGGAACAGGATGTCCAACGTTGCCATTAGTGAGCGCTAGAGTCAGGTTGCGATATATCTCCTCCTCGAGGAGCTTTTGGAGTCGACGTCGAGAAAATACACCCGGCTGGTTACCCTTGCGAATTAAGGCAACGCTATCGTTTATGAAGCGCTGATTCTCTGAACTGTAAGGAAATGAAAACAGGATGAGTGACTTTGAACTTCCTTTCGCGTATCCTTAAGGCAAATTTCCCACAATGATAGATATCTGACAAGCTTTTGACAAAGTGTCGAGGAAATCAACAACTCCACCTTTGGCCAATAAAGCTTCCTCTATCAATGCGTTTCGATGCAAAGTAAACACTCTTAGAATCAGAGTATCTGATTGAGAGCTAATCGTACTTATTATCAAATTCAATTGTAAATCTAACTCTGAGATCAGCTATGAGTAGAACGTGAACTTTTAAATCCCTTGAAGCACGATCAATAACAAGAAATCAATACATACTAAAATACTAGTGAGTGGATGGAAAAAAGAACATTTAGAAACGAGCTTACAATTCTAACTCCATGCGACGTTTCCGGGCTTGGGGATCAGATTCATCTTCAGGTCTTCCGGCTGAAATAAAATATATTGGAAATTAAGGGGGGAGGGGGGAGGGTGGAGGGAGGGAGATCAACCCAATTACAATTTGCTCAAACTAATTTTGCTTTAACGTTAATTATGAGCGAAACGGCGTACGAATGACGGAGATAAACATTAGAAAGGGTGATAATGTTGGTGAAAACGAAGGAAAACTGAACACTATTTTGTGTATGTGTGTGTGCGTGTATGTTAAAGTTACCCTTAATCCACGAAAAGTCTTTAAATACAAAATGCACATTACTTTATATAAGTTAATAAACACTTTGTGAGGTATGCTTTAAGTAAGGCGTTAAAGCGCGATTATTGTGGACAAGTAGTGAGAGGAGGGCGCGTTAAAGGTAAGAGGTGAAGCGTATTTTCAGTAAAAAAGCAGCTCAGTACTGTGACAACTAGAAAGGTGCTTCGCAAAGTACTGGAAGAGTAGGCCATATTGTAGTTAAATTTTGAACTACAATATGTTCAAAACCTATCGATGTGCATCCAGTAATTAGGACACGACAAAGGGGCCAGAGTAGGGGATGACGATAGTAGATAATTTTTGATAAAATGCACTAAAGAGGATGTTTTTAGTCCATATAGCCGAGCCACATAATAAAAGGAAAAATACTTTAAAGTGCGAAGTTTCTGCTGCTTGTTGCTGCAAGCTTGGGGAGTTGACCGTGAATAACTGGCTAAATATCCCCAATGGATAAGTGATCGGATTAAGACATTAATTCTCTTAATAATATGACCCAAATAAAAAAAATGAAATTCAGCTAATTTGTGAGCACACAGACAGGATACTCGATAACTGACTCACCAGATAGGACAAAAGGGTTTGGTGAATGGTATCACCAGTGTGCCAATCTACCTCCTCAATTCCTTTAATGTCATTTCAACTTTCGTTAGAAAAATTTAAGTCTTTTCGCTCACCTTATCTCTGCTGTACAAAAACCGTAAGTTGCCAAATGTCACCTAAGAACATTTGGCCCACCAAATCATCGAAGATGGACTGCCAGAATTGACCATTCTCAATTAAAAAAATACAAGCACAGACAATCATTGCCCGCAATTTGAATCTTGGAGCATCTAATTAAGTAAGAACCCTTTGACATCAAGACGTTGCTTTCGACATCTTTTTGATTGCCTTCCCTAACTGCTAAGCGATCTCAACTCGCTTCCCACAATTACAAATGGGAACATTCTTTGTACGCCTATGGGAATAGTAAAGGTAATAACCTTCTTAAATTCTGTGGTCACAAATAAAATGAGTCATTCCCATTAAAATTGTTACAACCCCCCTAATCATATAGGCAGAATTCGTGCAGCACTGCAACTGGACAAAACCTTCATGCCGATAATTTACAAAATTCCAAGCAAAATAACATTACAAAAATAAGTCCACAGAAGCAAGAAAATTAAGAACGTAGAGGCAAGAAAGTACAAATATCCATCAGAAGTGGTCCTTCCTCTATCCGATCAACAAAAGAGATCAGCTAATGCGATTTTTACCAAAATGGGATGAAAATAAAACATATGTCGAATACTCATCAATAATTCAAGTAGTGATTACCTCTAACAATGCGGATTTCAAAAGAGGAAAGCGTATATGTGCTTAGCCTTTTTCAGGAGCAAAGTCATGCAAAACATCTACACGCTTATAAACTCAAATTTCACAAATAGGGTACCTACCTTTGGGCCTAATAAACCTTAAAACATGATGATGTACCTGTCTAGGGTTGGAAACTAAAAGGATCTGAGAAATATCGATTGAAGTCATTTGTTGTTGAATCATTCGGAGAGATGGAGGCAACAAAGCCAAGCAATCAAGCTACACATATACACACACACACAAGCAAGGTTGTTTAGAGGGTGGAATCTTCCTATGAGCAAGGGATATGACTGCCGTAGGGAACAGAGGACTCTGGACACGTTTTATTTATCTCCCATCCCATCCCATCCCCACCCCCCCACCTCTCTCCTCTTCTTAAATCTGCATTAATTCGTTGGCGTGCAACCTGTGACGCTTCTGCCGTCGAGACAAAAATTCGGTTGTCTAATCTCCTGTCCCTGCTTGAAATAAAGCCTAATCTATTGGCGAAAAATTGCAAATCAGACAGCGTAGGCTTTCTTAAGAACTCACATGTTGATAAAGACATTGATTCAAGGCCTGAAATTACGCCGTGTGTACGCTTAGATTACTGAAAATAGCATGCTTGATGGCAGTGGAAGATGAAATTGTGAGTTAATAAAGAGCGCAAGACGACACTAATGAGCAAAGAGAGGTGGATGAGGAAGGTTGGGCAACAGCTACTATGGCAACAAAAAGAGGTCTTGGGGCGATAATTCACAAACTTACAGTCCATGAACCAGCTGTCGATTATTGCGCTCAGAGTAGGTTTTGTGCTCTTAGATTGAGACTGTGATTGAGTCGATTGAGTCTGAAATTAAATTATCAAAAGAGCAAAGCAAGTTAAAACCAAAGCTCAGCTAAATGAATGCAATAAGCGCGTGATAAAACAAATTTTTGCAGAGATCATCTCTCCGCGACTCCCAAGATGGAAGTAGGGAACTTGGGATGTCAGAAATTTTGAGACATTTTGACCGCAACAGCAATAGATTTCCTTGTTGATGATAGGTTTGCAATACAAAGAGCGTGATTATTGGTCAATATTTAATGAAGGGGGTACGCGATAAACTTACCTCCACGTGGTGCGCAATGGACAACGTATACTCATACGGCAAAAAAAGTCTATAAACCGGCAGTTGGCTTCTTACTTTAAACTACCATGACTCGACTGTATGTCATATTTGACAACTTCCACAATACTCACCTTATTCTTATCACTCAAACTTTGCGTTTGTCTCTCTTACATCTATGAACCATTCTACTGCCCCCCCCCATCGACTTTGTGACCTTGATATTAATCCCCTCTGTGAAAAGCAATGTCAACTAAAGGACCAGCGATAAATATCATGAAGCCTGCCATATGATAAAAAATTAAATATTTAATGAAATAAAGGCTAGCTAATTTTAACTTTACCCTAGTACATTGTAGTAGAATCATCAATAATATTCGATAAGAGGGGTGTGCGATAGACTTACCTCCAAGTGGTGCCCCCTGGTTAACGTAAAATCATACGGCAAAAAAGTCAATTAACTGGCAGTTGACTTCTGACTTCAAACTACCATCACCCCACTGTATGTCATATTCGACTACTTTCACAGTGGTCATCCCACCTTTTACCACCTTATCTACCTTCGTCTTTGATACACTCTTCTGTTCTCCCCCTCCTCTTGAATTTTTTACACTTTGATGTTCCTTCCCCTCTGTGAAGGCTGAAGTCAACTAAAGGGCTAATGATAACAATCAAAACGCCTGCCATTTGATATAATAATATTCGATAAGATGTCATAGATTACACGAAATTACTGATTGGGTCTCGATTTTTGTTGAATGTATATAAAAGCAACCAAACCCCCAAATTCAAGGAAGAGAATACCGTATAAGTTCCACCTAAACTTGGGGTACTTCTGACATTGGGAATCTGTGCATGATTAGACTCTGTGTGCAAAAGTAAACAGAATATAGATTACTAAAGTAAATTGATTCACTTAAATTTTAAGTTATTGAAGTCATATTAAAATTTTAGATATTATGGGTTAGAGGAAATCGCACCGAATGTCTTCGAGAATCGTTAGGAATAACCACGTCAGAGATTCTACGTGTTGAGTGGCTAGAGTTGGGAGTTAATGGGTGATTAGGAGAATCAAATGCGCGCGATCGAGAACCGAGACTTATCGGGGAATTCGTCATTGAAGCCAGACGCAGATTAATTTCCTTAGCCATTTGCCTGAAATGCGCAAAATCAAACTTCTTGAAATCAAATAAGGTGCATATACAAAACATTTTGTGCCCACATGATGACGACATTATTTTACACTTCAGAGCATTCCACTTTTTCCTTTAAAGGCCTTTAAGTTACAAATCGCATCTTATTCAAAGTAATAGTTTTTTAAATCTAAGTGTGGTGTCCAATTTTTCTTTAAATGGACAAGCTCGAAGTTACACCCTCTCCTTTGCTGAATTTAAATTGGATTGCAAAATGCTGACGAATAGTACCTTAGCTGTTGGTAACTGAACGCTGTTGTTGAATGAAACTACTTTCTGGAAAAGGGCACCATAATTTCATGATCCTCGTTTCATACCTCTATAAAAGTACTATCGAAATACCATGCAAATTCGTGAAAATTAAGAGGAGTTTTACACCATATCGAGGAGCAAGCGGTGATTTAAACTTCAAACCCACTTGCAGTTTTAATTTAAAAATTTTCAGCAACTTACAGAAAATATTTCTTTTAATTGCATGGTAACATTAGCAACCCCATCGAAAGACCCGGCAATTATTGTTTTAATTAAAATAACCCCCACCCCCTTCTCAATAAATTTTCTATCCAGTAGGAGGAATCAAATACTAAATTAGCAAATTAGTCAAAATTAGCTTTCCTATGTGAGAAAAAATAAGCACGTTGACTTTTGTTAAAAAAAATGAGCGGACAGTGGCTTGTTGCATGCAAAGAGGGAGAAAGAAACGTACCTAGTGGAGAGTGGTTCCTACAAAAAAATAATGAAAAAAGGGATTAATTAACAGACTGGTTAATTAATTAATTAATTAAAATTTCCCTATTTAATTAAAATGGGTGCAATAATAAGACGGTTGAGTGGAAAATTGAGGCGTCAACCAAATTCGGTTTGAAACCTTCAGCCAATTGTTGACTAGAGTAAAGGAGGAGGAGGAGGAGGAGGAGGAGTAGTAGAACGCCACAGGCACAGGCGTGTTACTATTGCAAGTTACGATTCCCTTGCCACACACTCCTTCGAAGGAGACTACAACTTAGAAGTCACAAATGGTGGGGTGAACACAAGTCCTCCCAAGTGAATAGAAAACAAAGCAGAAAGCAGGGCCGAAGTTGCAGGGTATCCACCACCTCGAAAACCATAATACTAAAATTGGCACTAGTGGCAGAGGAGGCAGAGGGAAGAATGGCCAAAAATTAAATAAATCGATCAGCTCAACCGGAAGGGATGCGTAGATAGTTGAAAGCATGGAAAACTATGTTGCCTCAAAATTAATTTATTTATATCAAATAGCAGGCGTCTTGATAGTTATCATTGGCTCTTTAGTCGACTTCAGGCTTCACAGAGAGGAAGGAAAATCAAAGGGAAAAAGTCGAGAGGGGGTGGAGAGGGATCAGAAGAGTGTTTCAAAGATGTATAAGAGACAGACACAAAGGTAGAAAGAAGGTGAGGCGAGCACTGTGGAAGTAGTCGAATATAACATACAGTGGAGTCATGGTAGGTTGAAGTCAGAAGTCAAATACCTGTTAATAGACGTTTTTGCTGTATGAGTAACGTTGCCGAGGGTGCACCACGTGGAGGTAAGTCTATCGCACAAATGAATTATTCGGAAGGCATTTCACGGAGGCTCATATTCGCCTTTTCAATTTAAATTAACCACTTAGAAACTATGGAATGTTTCCGGTTGCTATATTTGTAAAGGTGCTTCTTCCAAATAAATACTCTAAAAGCCATTGGAATAAAAACTTCCTAATAGAATAGAAGGGTGTAAAAAAATGTCCTCCAACACGTATAGTGGATGCAATATGATTTTGTTTTTAAAAATATTGTGAACTCAAAACAAGACCCAAACTTTACTACACATGCACCTATTTCCCCCGTATTTATCCAAACTTGAGTTATACTTTCGCGTCATTGGGGAATGCTTTTTTCCAGTAAGACAGAAGATTGACAAGCGATTTGCAGATTGGGCGGTAAAAAGAAGAAAAGAAACAGAATGCCAATATGGTTAGGAGAAGCCAAAGATAACTAATTAAGAAAATGGCACTCACAGTCCCCCCCCATATTGGAAGTTTTGCATCTTCCACCCCAACTACTGTCAGTCATGAACTGACTGTCCTAATCATATCGACTTACTGCTATTATTAATAAGAAAGATTATTACCCGCGCCTAAGCAATCTTTTCCACAAAAGAATTGCCATATTAGTTACAATGTAGGGTCCATCTACGAGCTCTATGGAACTGTGGAAGGTGCAGTGCACCTCGGTTTTTACCAATCAGCTACTTTTTTGGTTGTCTGTAGAAATGGAGACGATAATAACCAATCTCTTATTTCCATTTGTCGTTCCCTAAGCTATCATTCGGAAACAAAGGGAAGAAATCCAAATTGGAAATGCAATAGAAGCTACGATTAAGCTATTTTGTGCTCAGCTACAAACAATGGTAGGAAGAGAGTTTGATGAGAAGTCTCGCTTTTACAATTGAAACAAGGTGCCAAATTGCAAACCCATTCAGTTGACACTAAAAAGTTGAACACTAAGTAGAAAAGGCGGAAAATGATTTCACTATGTATGGAAAACTATGGAGAAGAAAGAGGTAAACCAAAGGTTATCAATCTTGATATATTTCCCTTCAATCCTTTCATGAACTTGAAAATTATTCAATAGAACTCGGAACGAAAATAATTAAAAAAAGCCCAATCATAATTCATACAAGCAAAAAATATAATAATCAGACGAAAGTTTAAAAAGCCAGCCTTGGTCTCAAAAAATTTGACATAGATGGCTCAAGGTCGCAAGGCGATTGGGCACTTAAGGTATGCTCACGATCAAATTACAAGGAATGCCTTAATCCCTATTTAGTACATGCTTGGCAATCTGTCGGCATATTTATTTTCGGATTTCATGATTTGGGGAAGCCAAATTTCAAACTGCTTTTAAATAAGTGGATGAATATATTTGCTGTTCATGACCAATTTCCAATGACCTTTAACGTGGAGTATCACAAGAATGACAAGTCAGAATAATGCTTTGTACCAACAAAATAAATCTTTTTTTTGACTACCCTTCAAGTGACTTCGTTTAACAACCTTCAGTTGAGTTCAATGGAAAAGTGACATATTTTCATTTCCGAAATGAAAAGCTTGATTATTCTGCTTAACGGCATTCAACACGAGTGAAAATTTTTCCTTTACCTGCACAAGACAGAAAGAAGATTCAAACGAACTAAAGTGAGATATGAACAACCATTCAATTAATCCAACAGCTCGCCACACTAAACTAGAAACTCTCCTGGCAAGGAGTTTAAATGCTAGGGTGCTCTTAGATCTTCTCAACTTTTTTCTCGTTGATGAACTATTACCCTATTTCGTGTGTTAAATTGCTTCCACACGATCAAAAGTTGTACAATTTTTTGTAATTTGCTGAATTTTTCTGTTTTTAGTTGACCTGTAAATATTTATGAATTCATGACAAACTCAGTTAGTGTACTGGTCACTGATTATCTACAATGACAACCATTGGATTTTAAACATCTCCTAGGACTAACGATCTCCAATCACCCATCTTAGTTCAAAATTCGCCCTATGTAAATAATCGACTCGTCTCTAGCCATTTGCGTCGGGCCACGTGATTAGGGGCCTTCGAGATAATGAGCAAGGTTGGCTTTCATCTGTTTATTAGCGTAGCTTATTTTTTCATAAAAAAATTAAGTAAAGTGTTCCCCTAAGACTTCAGGGTCTATTCATAAATTTCCCAGTAGGCTTCCAATCCCATCACGTAGATCGCCGAAACTCGTCTTTCAGGTTTTATCACAGATGACGGGAATTAAAACAACCATTGGTTTAGCAAATTAGCTATTGTCAAGATCAACTTACGATATCTCAAGCAAACTAGTTTAACGAAATAGGGAAAAGATGTAAACTTTTAGGTACTGAAAAGTTGAGTTTTCAAACTTAAATAAGAAGAAACAAATTGATGATACCCATTTATAAACTAAGAAAAACTCTCACGCAAAAATACTAAATTTAAGTTATAAAAAATGAAGACACCAATAGCGATTTATTAAAGGAGGTGAACAAAACGGCAATTAAAGCAATAATAAAAATGATATATATTTTCGATGGAATGAATGTCGAAATCGGGGTTTCGTCCACATTCTACATGACTGCTTCTATTCAAAAAAAACTAATCGAAAACGCTGAAAAGAAATCATCCATTGATGAAAATCTAAATTCATGAATTTCAAATTGATGCAGTGTGTGTTCTAACCTTGCGAGTCGATCAGGTCAGTTATCCTTTTTAAAGCGAGTGACTAATCAAAACTTCCTACTTAAGAGCAATTCCATTCCTGACACATCATTCTCAGCCAGAAGTAATTTGAAAAATTTCTCGCCAAGTTTCATTTCAGCATATTACCACTGTGAAAGCTTTTGTTGAGGAAAAACGAAGTTTCCGTAGATTATTCAAAAGAAAAGGAGTAAGATGATGAATCCGAACGCATTGAAAGAGAGAAAGATGTTTTTACGAGAGTCGGTCTTTTAAACAAATTCAAACTACGAATTATAGATGCAAATGATATATAAAATGATGGAAGAAGCCGATATTAATCATGTCAAACCTAGATAGAGTGTGATAACCCCAAAATTGCAAAGACTGTGGAACTTATTGTCTCGAGAGTGAAGGGAAATAGGCTCTCACCTGATTAAAATCACTTTTTAAAAGATTTGTTTGTTTTGAGTCTGTAACAAGTCTGTAAACCGGCAGTTGACTTCAAACTACCATCACCCCCACTGTATGCCATATCGGACCACTTCCGCAATACTCATCTTACCTTTACTCTACCTTTGTGTCTGTCTCTCTTTTACATCTGTGGATCATTATTCTGTTCCCCCTCCCATCGATTTTTTGCGACTTTGATGTTCCTCTCCTCTGTGAAGCCCGAAGTCAACTAAAGGGCTAATGATAATTACCATAAAGCCTGCCATTTGAGATAAATACATAAATTTGTTTTGAGTAGTGTCGACCACTTTTCCCTCACCTCCTTTGAATTAGCTAATTTATTCGACCCATTTCCATCGGTCTTCATCCGCTTTGTGTGTGCGTGTGTGTGTGTGTGTGTGTGTGTGTGTGTGTGCGTGTGTGTGTGTGTGTGTGTCTACGATGTTCAACCATTTATCCATCTTAAACTAGGCCCTCTCTAATTTGGCGAATATCTTCGACTCGTTAATTACATGACTGCAAATTCTGTCCTTTCTTTTCTAATTTGAATATTCTGCTTTTGTGTTTCCGAATTCTTTCCCCTTTACAGTAGTTGATTTTTCGCGAAGTGTGGAAGAGTAATAAATAAAAGAGTTCGTTTTTTGGGGCGGCATTTGGCTTCCCCCAAGTCCAATGCAATGATGGCATTTTTAACTTTTAAAGTGTTTGTACTTGTTCGGCTGTCAAATTCCGTAAAATGTGACTCGCCTATTGCTTAAATGCTGGAAGGAGATCCAGTTCTTCTGCTAGAATTTATTCCTTCGTTGGATATCGATAGACTACAACTCACCCAGACACTGAGATAAGAAAACGAGAAGGAAGTTAAATGACAAAAATTTTGATTTATTAAAAAATATCCTAATCCATTTATGAGGCAGTATAATTAATGAATGATCCGATAAAGACCATTTGTCTAAACTATCTCTTCAAGTATTGGAGTTCAAATGCAGCTAAGTTAATCCGTCTCAAGTCATTGGACCAACACTGATCAACCATATCCGCATTTTATGGTTGATCAAAACTGAGCAAAAATCAGAAAACAAACTCATAGCGGAGCTTGAATTCCTACACTACTCACGTCGATTACGTGAATGTGTCATTTGGCATAGCGTAATATGAAAATAGCCAACTAACCTGAGACGAGGGTGATGCTGAGGGCAAATCAGTGTGAGTTTCAACTTCAGGAATCACGAAAGAAGAAGGAGGTGTGTAATAAGGCACCAAATTAGATGGCAACTCCTTTCCAAATTGCATGCACTCCACTCTGTCCGGACTACGCAAAGCCAAGGAGTTCAAACGAGCATTGTCTTCCTTCATTTCACCCTTTCGTCGAACATCCGAATGCCCTCTTTTCTCGCCTAAAAGTAAAAGGAAAGGTGTGTCAATTGACAGAATTCCCGAAACCAGCGCAGCATCAAACCACACGAAGCTCAATTGTGTTTTGTCTTTACTTGTTTAGATAAGAAAAGCCGTGCTTCTACATACCTCCAAATATTTGATTGATAAGCTCAGACACACTTATTTTGGCATGTCTTCCTGAAAAGGAATAGGAATGAAAAATAAAGTGTAGAAGAAGCCAGTTATCTCCTCAAAATCCACCAAAAGTTGATGACAGGTAGAAAAATGGCTCTCACAGAGTGATGGCTAAGAAAAAAAATAAGGCAGAAAGCTTTGAATGAGGAACTTTACTCATGGTTGAAAATTTGACAATATTAAAGTTATAGGAATTCGTCGCAACCATTGTGGTTTAGACATCATAGTAATCGAATGAACAATTTGGTAGACTGTGGATTTCAAGAACTGAGTATCGTACTACTTATAAACAAAGGTGGTTTATTTTTTAAATTAATTTAGACCAACTTAATAATATGTTGGCATAGACTTAGAGAACTTGAAACTGAGCACAGTCAGTCAGTCTGTTCGATACCAGTTTTGGGGAGTAAATAAATAAATAGGTATTACTGCTTGAGTTTAATGAGGGCAAAGCAAAGCATCACATGTGCCAGTAGCATATGGTCGGAATAATTTTCCAACTCACTACAAATAGACGCATTAAATAAGCCAAATGTGGCAATCATTTAAGCAGAATGACACACAAAGTCGTGTGAGAATGTCGTTGCTGCTGTTGCTGTGGGAGGCTTGATTAGAAGGGTGCATGCGTGAGAGTTGTAGCAAGCATTCTGCACATCATCCTGCACTTCATTAAAACATTAGGTGGAAATTGTTAGTCTTTAAAGCCACTATGAATGCAAGAGGAGGGCTGCAATAAGCCAAAAATGTTACTATTGTTGAAAAAAAACAACTTTGTTATTAAATTACTATCATTAAAAAGCATTTGGACACAGAGAATAAAAAAATAGTTCAATGAGTGGTCAAGCAAAGGAAGCAGAGAGTGAAAGCGGGCCAGTGAAGAGTGTTTAATTTGTGAACATCAACCTATCAACCTTCATTGAGTTACTCCAATTAGCACTTAATGAACCTAACAAACACGTAGCAGTGGCGGCTAAATCGTTATGCATGATGTAGGATGCAAAGTCGGTAGACCTTGCTTGAATGCTTGCTTGGTTCCTACTGCCGTCATGATAGTAAGTACGCTGAAGGGGAAGAGATCACCTGATACTTGCATGTTTATAGTAACTGAATTGTGAAAAAAAAATCACAATCAATTAATCACATCTAACTGGTGTAATAATTACTGGAAAGTGCACTTCTCACATTTTCACCTGTTGGTGCTGAAAAGAAAGCCGTTTCGAAAAATTCAAAGCAAGACAACAGAGCTTATTCGGGCCTAGGTAAATAATTTCATTATTTTGCACTAAATACAAAGCGATTTCAACAACTATCTGTGATGTGAGGTATCATATGACCTTCATGAATTAGGTCAAAATTTCGCGACTATAACTGGTTAACGTAAAAACAGACTTCTTTCATAACTCAAATTTTATTTAATCATTTTAGTATATATGAATGTCATGAACCATACAAGTTCAATTGTCTTAAAGTACATCCGGTCAATAGAGATGACAACGAAAGGCGAAATGGAAAAAAGATGAGAATTTTAAAGCCAAACTTATTAGCTTCTAGCCAGTATAGCCAAGATGGGCGTGGTGTAGGCTTCAATGTTAAGAACATTAATAGAATTAATCTCATCAAAACGGGTTTTGATTGGTTCGTTGAAAAACACGCCTTAAGTATCACTCCAATACAGTCTTCAGACTAAAATGGATTGAACTCATACGATGGAAAACCATTGAATTAGGTCAGACAGTGGGCAGAAGTGAAGTCAGAAAAAGAGAAACTTGAAAGAAACAAGCATATTATTTCTTCAGATTATTACCTAAGCAGATTCTCCATTTTTTACGCGCCAAGTTTCAAATATTGCCTTTGCAATTTCGAATTGGCAGATTAAGTTTTTGCGGTAAACTCAAACAACTGCACACTACACGGTTGCCATAATGACAAAATTTATGTGGATTTGCTCTGTCAGTGCTGTCAGCGTTAACAAAATGATTGTGGCACGACCTTACTTCTCACAATACCACTTTGGAATTCAGCAAAAGTAGCATGACTAACGCAATTGACATCTTAAGTGGACGTCATCATGGTGCAGAAACGTGGAATATATTTTGCTTCCAATTTTTATTGCGCAACTAACAAAATGCATAGTTTGGCTCGTGAAATGTCACTGCTTAAGATCTGCTAGTAATTTCAATAGGTAAGGTGGATTGCCTGCCATAAGTTGGTGATCTAATGGAAAAAGAGTGAACTGAAATGGCTAGATTGACCCCCTCTCTCTTGATTAAACAATGCCGGCTTGTAAACACGGAATGTCGTAAACATTTGCACTTGTTGCAAGTCAAGTATTGAATGGAGAAATTTAGCATTGAGGGAAGCGAGCTGCCCGTTAAGTACAAGCTGTACAGCCCGAGTCTAAGAAAGAACTGAAATACAGCTTCATGATCCTTGACATTGAACTCCACCTCCCCCCCCTCCCCCCGCCCCCCCCCGCCTC